ACCACATATTAACTTAATATGTAAACCCATATAGAACAATATTATCCATAGGGTAAGGGTACCCAACATTGAAAGTTACCAAACAATGGAACACTTATCATATATATGATTCAGTATTGTTATTTAGAAATGCGTATGTATTCCTTGATCAAAATTTATATAAAATATAGGTCATAAACTCATATTTTATTTTTCAAAACAAATATTTTGATAAATACACGACTAAAGTTCATTAAAATGCTTTTGTAATGAAAACACTTTAAATGACGTTCATTTTGTTTACAAACTCAGTTATACGATGAGGTGTTCCATCTTGAGAGTTTTTTTCTTTCAAACTAAATACTTAAATGCCAATCGTCACAATTATATGCCTCGTTTGTAAATGCCACGACAGGGTCGTATTTCGTGCTGTTCTGAAATGCACAAGGTTATCAATACTATACTAACAATGCACTGTCGTCCTCCTGCCAACGATGTAAATAGACATTGCTGCATTTGCCTGTACATCGCTTGAGCTGTATGCATCACAGACAAAATATACCATACATCAATGAAACATAATAGAATGGTTATAAAAAGACAGTTATCTGAAATATTAACCAAAGAGACATTATAAGCTGATCTGTCACGACACTTCTTCATGGAACTTATCAGGATGTCGTCCAGTTATGCGATACTTTATATTATCTCATGTATACAGGAAAGTACATGATTAGCAATAGCGCAGCTTATCACATAGAACTAGGTTCTCGACAGGAGTAATTTTATAAAGTGAAATGTGGCGTATCTTCAATAACATAATTATTCTTTATACACAGATAATTAATCCTCCCGATCCCAAAATCCTGCTTTTTTGTAAAATGTTTTAAGCATGATGTGGAATAATTGGAAACAGAGACAAACACCTTCCCGTGGTTAAGCAGTCTTCCGTGAGCTATTGCAGTCCACATTTGGTATTTACATGTATGTACCTCAAACAACGTTCCATGTTTAGTTATGCCATAGCTACTTCTAAGACCTACTAGACCGTCATTGTTTAGCTTGAGTAATTGATCATGTAAGCTATTGCTCTCAATCTTCGTCCGTCGTCTAGGTACGCACGTTCCTCCAACGTAGGTTCACAGATATCTACCAAATCATAGCTAAGAATTTCAACTTCTTTTGTCCATGCTCGATCGGAGATGGACCCCTTGCCATTTATTTTCTGGGGCCATTTCTTCTCCTTCTTCTTCTCCTCGACATCAACTGCAGATAATGACTAGGCACTAGGTACAAATGTTCCCGTAGTGTTAGGGCAAATGATACTCATGTAAGCGCTCCTTGGATCTTTTTGTAAAAGAGTATTATAAAGCGTTAACAATTTCGCATATACTGTTGAATTATTAGCACACACGTGTAATCGAATTTTAAGGAATTTAGAGTAAAGAGACTCACTTCAAAAATATGTTACCGTGATTTATGAATCATAATGATGCAACGAATTTAAATGGAAGAACGTACATGGAACTCTCCGGTGTTAGGATCAAGGTCAAGGATAGAATAGCTGGTTTCGCGATCCCCATTGTCGTCAATAATCACACTGCCGGTAACACCTGTCAGATTAAAAAAGACAGAAGTAGATGGGCAATGGATAGTGATTTGATAATCATTATAATTAAATCTCTACGTAACAATGTTATTGTTTATCATATAACCTGTTCACATTTGCAATTCGCTTTATTTTATTCATAACGTAATTGACAGCATGATTTAGCACTTTGTTTCGGCACAAACTAAAAAGGCATCAAAGATAAAAAATAAAAAAAAATAAAAAATCTGTGCGTTGTGACGGTAGCAGCAGATCAATTAGATCAATATTCAACATAATAAGGAAACACACATTGCATACACCTACAATGAAGTAGTAATATCGTAGTAATGTCACATTAGAAATATTCATGTTTTCAGTTCATTCAACTTGTTAAAACTACCTGTAATATCACTGCGCAAGGACACAATCGAATACATTTACACACATGGACAAAATTCTATTACAGATTTAAAAAGCAATGAGCTGGACCCAAGTTATGAATTTTTATATGATAAGGATATTGATATTAATTATTATTAACGGGAATCTTTATGATGCAATTATTACATTGTTATTGCTAATTAGAAAACTCTCTGACTCTGAATCTTTGTGGACTCATATTTTATCAATTATCTTATGCAATCAATCGATCACAATATGCGCATGATTGATTTCTGTATTATTGCATATTTATACAAGATCGTGTCCTGATGTCTCTCATTTGTCACGTCTTTGTCCCTGTATGAATTTCACACTTGATTTCTTCAGCCCCAGATGAAAGTCTCTGATATATAAGTATTTCAGTGAGGCGTAAATTCATCGAAATATGCATATAATGAGTTGGCAAACATGAACAAGATCAACTATGATATCATCAACAAGATTCATTAGTTTGGAAATACATATGTGATACATTTGAATTGAGGTTTTACTTTCTACACAAACGTCAAACGTATTAACGTGTCGCACCGTTTCACTGTGACTGGTCCCTTTGTCAAGCTAGTCACTCATGTCGATGGTTTTACCAGATAATTAAATCAATCACTTGATCATTGACGGTTCACCAGCACAAAGTTATAGCATGTTTGCAGTGACATTATAATGTGAATATTTAATAGATAAAAACATTTTATTGCAGGGTGCAATAGCTAATGTGCTAGTGAAGTTACCCTTTTAGGTTCTAGGTAAACACATATCACAAACACATCTAAAAATTGCAAAGGAAGCATACCGATGTTAGCTGAATCCAGCAAACTTTGAAGCATTTGCGCAATTTTGCCTCTCAAAACTGAACTGTATTTTATTGTTTAGTAATATCTACAAACCTAGAAGCTCAATCAATAACTTTTCCTTAGCACTGGTATAGATATTGTTATTGTTATTGATATTCCTGTAAATTATTATATACAGTATTGAATAAGGAATATGATATAGACTATTTACGTTTTACAACAATTATAAAACAACCTATATAAACTTATATAAATTCCACTTGTTGGCCCGGATAACAGTGCGCATGGGGTATTAATTTGTGAGGAAAACGGACATCCCGGAGAAAACGCACGTGGTCGGCAGATGATTAAATAGCTTGGACGAAACATGTACAAAGTGAACGAGTAGAGCATATGTATTGTGATCTTCAGCAGATAAAAAACCATAACACAGCTCTAAACATACAGTAGCAATCGATTATAAATGTGTTGCTCATATAGGGAAAATAACACCTACCTTGGAATGTCCTGTTCCACATACTTCTTGTGAACGTGTAGCCATCTTTGATGATGGAGTGGTCGATGTTGTTTAAGCTCTCGTTTAGAGCCATTCCGTACAACAACACCGCGTCATGGAACGCTCCGATAAAAAAGTTTACCTACAATGTAGTAACATAAATATCGGCCAACGAGAATAGATAAATTCCGGTATTTACGGTAAGACGGTTATCAAAATCTTTGTCATTCTTTTCGAAAATAGCATTCATACATATGCTGTCGACAAAACCTTTTTCTTGCAAATATTACAGTTCTTTAATTTTTGTTTTACATATGTATCCTTTATGTGTTTGACAAACTATGTATCAATATATACTGCGTTTACCTGATTTCGAAACAAAACATGATACATCAAAACCTTGTCAAATAATTTATTTAATATTAAATAATCAACTATAAATCAATTGCTGTGTAAAGTGATGAAAAGTAAAATAATTTTAACCGGAAGTTTTTTCTCAACAATGGCGACTCAAGGTTCTATAGGGTTTCGGTCGAACGCATTATCTATTTGCTTTATGATAAAATCACATTTGTAACCACTTTGTTATTGCTTTCTGGTAGATATTAAAATAATAGACAGCCTCTGACATAATGGTGTTATTTCAAACAACATGGTGTAGAAATAAATATAAAGAAAACCATTGTACATGTGTACATGTACTAGCATTCCTAATGTTTTGTCAAAGTACTACCCTTTCAATTAGTTTATGGTGTTTGTCGAATTATCTTGTGCATGGTAAACGCTTTCATTTTCTTATAATAATAGAATGACACCATTGAATATGGTAGTGCAGAACATCCCAAGCGTTTTGCGTATTTATGTTATTAACATTCCTGTGAGCACACTTACTACCGTATTTATGCTATTTACATTCATGTGAGCACACTCACTACCGTATTTATGCTATTTACATTCATGTGAGCACACTCATTACCGTATTTATGCTATTTACATTCTTGTGAGCACACTTACTACCGTATCTATGCTATTTACATTCCCGTGAGCTCACTTACTACCGTGTTTATGCTATTTACATTCCAGTGAGCACACTTACTACCATATTTATGCTATTTACATTCCTGTGAGCACACTTACTACCTTCCAAACAAGTTGCATTTTATCACTTGTGAACATTACTAATTAGTGCAAAGTTGAGAATACCACGAAATATTAGCAATAAATACCATGATTAACATTGTATCCGACAAATTGCAATTAATATATACCTCCTCGTCATGAAATGAGAAATTATACATTTGCCACGCTTTCAACTTGACCTCTTCCGTAAAGTTCATCCATTCGGCACTCGTTGGGACTTGAAGACTGATCCTAAACATAGCCTCATATGCTTTCCGTGCATCCTGGTCACGTGAGTCGCCTCTTTGCCAGTCGTGGTTTCCCCAGTATTTTCCAGGGAAGGGGAACAGATGAATATCAAAGAAAACAAATTCTCCGCTTGCTATAAAGCCAAGGTCAAGAGCCGATAGCATAAATTTCCGAACGGAATCGCCGGGCGTCACGAGGACGATCACTGCAAATTGCAAATGATAATCACATCTGTAAATTATTGTTTTGTTTTGTCAATTTTTTTATGAACAAAAACCTATTTGACTATCTTAAAAATTGTATACGAAACCACGATTCAAACGTTTATTATTTTTTTCCATAGTTTCAACATGATGTTTACATAAACAATTTATGCAATTTATACATGCACGAATCTCTTTACTAAGTATAAAGTACCCTTACCCCTAGTAACCATGGCGACTTCCTTCATGATAGCTGTGAAATCCGGATCATCCTTGCCATAATAGGGAAACATATAAGGATAGATTTTTTGCTTTTGGAGACCGACCTTCAAAGTAGACCCGAGAACTTCCGAATGAACATCATTGATGTCATAAACAATGGCTACATCTGTCCAGTGAAATTCCTCGAAAACACTGCCGAGTACCTTGCGTAACCTACACTGACAGTAGGCAAGTCTCGTTAGGGTTGGATAACTCGTCTTGTTCTTAAACATGCCACCATCCCCGAGACCTACAAGTTGTCAGATAAAGATCAGGTTGTTTTAGGGTAAGCGATCCAAGTGTTTTGATATGGCAAAAAAAGTAATAACAGAAAACACATGTAGCAAAAATTCGTAATCAATACTGGTCTTTCCATTGCTAACCTTTATGCCTTATATTTTATTTTAACGCGATTGAATTGTTGTTTCTATCACATATCCTTCAACTTTCGCAAAGGCAAACAAATGTTATCTGTTATTGTTAGGGACATGCAAAGGTACAAGGATGATTTGACAACAAAATCTACTCTTAAATGTTATCAATGTTTCTAACGTGAGAGAATATATTTACTTGTTAAAGGATTTTAAAACTCGGGGGAGTGGAGCAACCAGCTGTTTGAAATTGAAAATTTGTTGGAAATTTCGGAGTATTTTTGAAAATACAAAAATGATCATGTAGATACCTGTGATGACCGGGATATTCCAGTAGTTAGCCAGACGAGCCACGGGGTCGAGGGCATACGGACAGGCTGGTCCCAGTAGGGCGTCTATGTTATATCTATAGTACAAATCGGCCACCATACCTACAATATATCCACGTCACTAGTTGACCGTAAATAAACATTCTGCGGAGTATGTCGTCATATACTTCCAAACAGGATTGCAGACCAGTCCAATAATGCCCTGTTGTTCCTCCTTAAAACTGTTACCTTAGCTACAAATGTAATTGGAGGCTCACGCTCTCTTACCATTTCTTGTTATCTGGCATGGAATTTCCTTACAATTGTATCTTATGCAGATTATTTGCTACACTAATTCAAAGATTAACTGATTTTGATCTTTGATTCATTTGATCTCTTTTCAAAACCTTCTCTTTATTTGAAACGTATCTTCAAAGTAAAAAATACCAGGTATGTACACAACAAGAAAGGAGACCTGGGCCAAGACATCAAAATAAAGAAAATGTTATCAACCCTCCTTTCATAACTAATATTCTGGAGGATTTTAAGCATGGCATTTATACACTGTCGAATCAGGGACTTCTTGCAGAAAACCTTGGATAAGAGGCTTGCTTGTAAAACTATCTCCTGCACAGAAATAGTATACAGTAAGAGTATGAAGAGCAGGACAGAAANAGAGTATGTGGAGCGGGACAGAAATAGTATACAGTAAGAGTATGTGGAGCGGGACAGAAATAGTTAACAGTTAGAGTATGAAGAGCGGGACAGATATAGTATACAGTTAGAGTATGTGGAGCGGGACAGAAATAGTATAGAGTTAGAGTATGTGGAGCGGGACAGAAATAGTATACAGTTAGAGTATGACGAGCGGGACAGAAATAGTTAACAGTAAGAGTATGATGAGCGGGACAGAAATAGTATACAGTTAGGGTATGAGGAGCGGGACATAAATAGTAAACAGTTAGAGTATGTGGAGCGGGACAGAAATAGTATAGAGTTAGCGTATGTGGAGCGGGACAGAAATAGTATACAGTTAGAGTATGTAGAGTGGGACAGAAATAGTCAACAGTTAGAGTATGACGAGCGGGACAGAAATAGTCCACAGTTAGAGTATGAAGAGCGGGACAGATATAGTATACAGTAAGA